ATTAATTTAAATAATATTGTTTACTTTTTAATTTTAAAATATCAGAATAGGACATCCAGTTGTATTAAGACTGTCATTTTCTTCGATATTAAAAATAAATATTTAAAAATTACTATTTATTATATATATATTTATGAATATATAAAAATATTTAATAATATAATAAAATAAAAATAAAAATACTACTAAAACAATATATTTAAAAACAATAAAATAAATGAAGACATATAAAATAACGGACTAAATTATAGTAAAAATAAAATTAAAAATCTAATTCATAATTAATCAAAATTATAGGGATTAAATATGTTATTTCTTTATTTAATAATTTAGTGACTAAAATAAAATGATCTAAAATTCGGATATTATAATAAAATAAATTAAAAATATAAACTAGGGGTTAAAATATTATTTATTAAAATTAAAGGGATTAAATCTGTTATTTATCCTAAATATATTATTTTAATATAAAAGACTAAAATGAATAAAAATAAAATTTTGAGATCAAATTATAAATTATTATAAATTCAATTTAGTGACTAAAATTTAAAGTTTACAACTTGGGAGGACTGCGGACGGGGTTTAACTATTGTTTAATTACGCGCATAGTCCTTCCCGAAACGACGTCGTTCGGGAAGGACTATAAAAGTCCAAAACCGGCTGGCCCGAAGGGCCAGCTATCTCATTTCTCATTTCACTCTCTCTCTCTAAACTGAGAGAGTTTTTAAAACTCTCTCGCCTCTCTCTAGCTTCCCTCACCGGAGGGAAGCCGGTCACCGGACGGCAACCGTGTGCCACCGTGATTGTCACCGCCGGCCACCGCATCCGGTGGCCGGAAAAAATATTTTTACACTAATAGATAGATCGGACCGTCCTAAGGACGGTTCCGGTGTTATTTCCTCCTAAAAAGCTCCCAATCGGAGCGAATCTACAAAAGTACCTTCGGTGTTTCGAAGGTTCCGGTGAGATCCGGTGGTCGGGGCTTCCTCGGTAAGTTTCTTTTCTTCTTTTTCCTTCTTTTTTTTTGTTGCTTTGCTGCTGAGATCGTTGGTAGTATGTATATATATATTTTTTTCTGTTTTGTCTCTCTCTGTCTCTGTGTTCTCTGTCTTTCCTCCTTCCTTCTCTGTCTCTGTCTCCTTTTTTTTTTCAGGTTGGGGTGGTGGCACCGCCGGTGTGGCCATCGGACCAGTCCGAAGATGGGGTCTCGGTGAGTCACCGGACTACCAGTGGTGACTCACCCCGTAGCCATGGCATGGACGGCTGGCGTTGATCTTCTGGAGTCTTCATTTGGGACGTGGCAGCGGCGGAGGCGGCGAGAAAGTGTCGGCAGCCGCGTGGAAACTGGGGCGGCGCCGCGTGGCCCTAGGGTATCAAACCCTAGGGTTTCCCTCTGGAGCCATCTGGACCGTTGGATCTTGCCAGATCCAACGGCAGCAAGCTGAGGCGGCTGGTTTAGATTAGGGTTAGGAAACCCTAACTGGAAACCCAAATGTTTAGGGTTTCTGGTTTGATCTGGACCGGTTCTGGTTTGTTTGTAACTGGGCCGGTCCAGTTGTAATTGGTCTGTAATTATTATTTATATATATGTTTAATATATATTTAATAATAATAATAATAATGATAATAATAATAATAATAATAATAATAATAATAGTAATAATAATAATAATAATAATAATAATAATAATATTAATAATAATAATATGGATAAAAAATTAATATCTTCAGCTGCTCCTCTTTGCTCATTCTTGAGTTAACAAGAATAGGGCAAAGATGAAAAGATAATAAATTTTTTTATCCATTTTGACTTTACTTTGATCATAATGGAGATACTGAATAAATTCTTCTCTCTCCCCAGATAAGTTCTTCTTATTATGAACTTTCTGCTGGGGATGATGATGACCTCCTTTCTGTGATAGAGTCATTCAAAAGGTTGAATAAGCTCTTGATGAGTTCTTCTCATTATGAACTTTTTCTAGAAAGGCTGATGCTAATCTATCTCCTTCTGTGATAGAATTATGCAAAAAGTTGAACAAGTTCTTCTTATTATGAACTTCGTCTTTCTTCTTCAGATGAGTTCTTCTCATTATGAACTTCTCTGGAAAAGTTGATCCATTAAGTGATGGATTTGACAAAAGGTTGAACAAATTCTTCTTATTATGAACTTCTTCTTCCTTCTTCAGATGAGTTCTTCTCATTATGAACCTTCTCTGGCAAATATAATCCATCAAGTGATGAATTCAAACAAAAGGTTGAACAAATTCTTCTTATTATGAACTTCTTCTTCCTTCTTCAGATGAGTTTTTCTCATTATGAACCTTCTCTGGCAAAAATAATCCATCAAGTGATGAATTCAAACAAAAGGTTGAACAAATTCTTCTTATTATGAACTTCTTCTTCCTTCTTCAGATGAGTTCTTCTCATTATGAACCTTCTCTGGCAAAGATAATCCATCAAGTGATGAATTCAAACAAAAGGTTGAACAAATTCTTCTTATTATGAACTTCTTCTTCCTTCTTCAGATGAGTTCTTCTCATTATGAACTTCTCTGGAAAAGATAATCCATCAAGTAATGGATTTAAATCTTTACTAAGAATCTTTGGAATTCCTGTTAAAAATTCATTATGGATGAAAATGAATGAAAATGCACCTATTTTTACAAATACCTAAATATGATGCATGAATGTTAAGTTATTTGATTTCAGATTGGTGAACTGAGTATTTATGCAGTTGTAGAAACCCAATAAATCTTTCTTCTTCAAATCAGAGAATCTATCATCTTTGACAAATGTAGATTTAGATATAATGTCACAACACCTCTTGAGAATAAAACTCAATGGTATAGGCTCTTGCAAAGCTTGCCTTTATGTGACATGTTGATTCTGATAACAACTCATCTGATTATGAAATGACCTTTCAAGATGATTTCACAAATATCGATAGTTCTTCTAATACCGAGAAATCTTGAATTCTGATTCTGATGAGGAGAATAAACTGTTATACTTGACAAAAATGGGATTCTCAGATGCTGAAGCTTCAATAACCATGTAGAGACGTGGTCCAGATTCATCAATTGAAAAATTGATAAATTTTATATGTGCTGTGCAAATGACTAAGGCTGCTGATGCACTTCTTCTGGTAAAAGATAGGAAGTCATTATACAATGATCTCAATTACAAGAAAAAGTGAAACTTGGGCTATGATTTTTGAGAAAGGAATAAGCAAAAGAAGCTTGAAAAGAAACTTCTTAATGAAGACGATCATGCATTTCATCTTTTAATTCCAATGATTGGTTCTGTAATTTTTACCAAACCAGATCAAATAACTCAAAGAACACTTCCAGAAGATGCTATTAGCACATTCCTCTTCCAAATTTAATTACTGGTTTTACCAAACCAGATCAGATAATTCAAAGAACACTTCCAGAAGATGCTATGAGCACATTCATCTTCTAAATTCAATGATTGGTTCTGTCCAACCAGATCAGATAACTCAAAGAACACTTCCAGAAGATGCTATTGAGCACATTATTCTTTCAAATTCAATGATTAGTCTTGTCCAACCAGATCAGATAACTCAAAGAACATTTCCAAAAGATGCTATTGAGCACATTACTCTTCCAAATTCAATGATTAGTCTTGTCCAACCAGATCAGATAACTCAAAGAACATTTCCAAAAGATGCTATTAAGCACATTATTCTTTCAAATTCAATGATTGGTTCTGTCCAACCAGATCAGATAACTCAAAGAACACTTCCAGAAGATGCTATGAGCACATTATTCTTTCAAATTCAATGATTGGTTCTGTCCAACCAGATCAGATAACTCAAAGAACACTTCCAGAAGATGCTATGAGCACATTCATTTGTTCCAGTTAATGTTTGGACTATGATATCACAATGCTTATTTGATGTAGAGCCAGAATTTGTAGATTCGAAGCATTTTCATGCTACTACACTGGAAATAGGCTATATTCATAATCTGTCAATTAAGAACAGATTTTCTCTTATTCTACTTCCTCCATGTGTTGATGCTTTTCCATTGACAAAGAAATGATGGCCTTCCTTTGAGTGTCCAGAAGTATTTTCTTGATGAGTGCTGAAAATGGAATCTAGTATGGGTTGGAAGGAATAAAGTTGCTCCACTTGAACCTGATGAGGTGGAAATACTTCTAGTTTTCTTTAAAAACCATACACAAGGATCTGTATAGAGACATATTTCCCAGTGATATCAATGTCTTGTTTCCTTTTGTTGGAATCAGTGCTGCAAAGATCACCTTCTATTGTCTTAGTATATTTTTGAAAACAGATGTGCAAGAACTGAATGGTGATCGGTTGGAGCAATTGATGAGTAGATTTGGCGGATTCGACTTTGTTGTCGGTAGGATCCCGTGTAATAATCTTGATGTTCATGGCTTTAAGCTAGTGATGATTTGCTTACTTTGTATTCCATGTATTCAAAAGTATTAACATAAAGTGATATTCAGAAATCTTTAAATTATTTCAAAATTATGTTAATTCAATAGAAAAGAATAAATTGAATTTTCAAAAATAAATTGAATCTCAAATAAATTGAACTTGAAATAGATAGAATTGTATTCAAAGTTATGGCAAGCATAAGAATGATAAAAATTCAAATGTCTCAACAAATTATAAGCATAAGTATTTCTAAATTAATCAAGTTGACACAATTTAGAGAAATGATGTAAGCTTTTGTCTGGAAGATCTCAAACGTTGTCGAAATGCTTGTAGATGTGAAGTTTCTTCCAAACTGTCAAAATCTTAAGAGTGTTCAATTTCCAGATGCCTAATATCAACCTGCATTTGAGCCGCCTTTTCAGGTTTTCAACTCAAATCCTTCCTTTGGTTACAAGATGCCCTTTGCGGGTTTTCACCTTGATCCCCTTTCTTTTTCTTCTCTTTTTTTTTCATTTTCTATTTTTTTCTTTTCTTTCTTTTTTCTATTTTCTTTCTTTTCTTTCTTTTTTCTTTTTTCTTCAAGCATAATACTTCTTGACAGAATCTGAGTTTATTGGATTTCTCAGAATTTTTCCATCCATTTCTGCCAAGATCAATGCTCCTCCGGAAAAGGCCTTTTTCACAACGTATGGCCCTTCCCAATTAGGCATCCATTTCCCACGGAAATCTTTATGTATAGGCAAGATCTTTTTTAGTACTAGATCACCCTTTTGGAATTCTCTTGGATGTACTTTTTTGTCATGAGACTTCATCATCCGTTTTTGATACATCTGTCCATGGCAAACAGCTTTCAATCTTTTCTCCTCAATAAGGTTCAATTGATCAAATCTAGCTTGGATCCATTCAGATTCATCCAATTTTATTTCTCTCAATATTCGAAGCGATGGAATCTCAACTTCAATTGGTAAGACTGCTTCCATCCCATAGACTAAAGAAAAAGGCGTTGCCCCAGTAGATGTTCGAACAGTAGTTCGGTATGCATATAGAGCAAAAGGTAACTTCTCGTGCCAATCTTTGTAAGTTTCAGTAGTCTTTGTAATGATTCTCTTGATGTTCTTATTTGCTGCTTCAACTGCCCCATTCATCTTTGGACGATATGCCACTGAGTTTGCATGTTTGATCTTAAATTGTGCACAAAGTTCGGTCATCATTTTGTTGTTCAGGTTCAGAGCATTATCTGTAATGATCCTTTCTGGTAGGCCATACCGGCAAACTATCTCTTTCTTTATGAATTTACAGACTGTGGACCTCTTAATATTGGCATATGAAGAAGCTTCAACCCATTTGGTAAAATAATCAATTGCCACAAGGATGAAGCAATGTCCATTCGATGCTTTTGGTGTGATTGCTCCAATGACATCTATTCCCCACATAGAAAATGGCCAGGGTGCTGTCATTACATGTAAAGGAGATGGGGGTACATGAATCTTGTCTGCATATATCTGGCATTTATGACATTTTCTTGCATAATCAATGCAATCTGTGTACATGGTAGCCCAATAGTATCCATATCTCATTATTTTTCTTGCCATGGAAAGGCCATTTGCATGTGTTCCACATATTCCACTGTGTACTTCTTCAATAACATTTCGAGCTTCACTGGTATTTAAACATCTCAATAGCATTTGATCATTGCTTCTTCTATACATAATCTCTCCATCAAGAAAATATCCAGCAGCCATTCTTCTCAAAGTTCTTTTATCAATTTCCGATGCATTTGGTGGATAACTTTGATTTTTGATATATTGCAGAATATCATGATACCATGGTTTACCATCTACCTCTTCTTCCACACTATAACAATGTGCAGGAATTTCATATACTTGCATTTTGATTGGCATCATATCAACTTTCTTAGTTGCCTGAAACATAGCAGCTAATGTAGCCAAAGCATCTGCCATTTGATTTTCTTCTCGAGGGAGATAATTGAAGGTAACTCTCTCAAATTCTTTCACTAATTCGAGGGTAAAATTTCGGTATTCCAACAATTTGGGATCTTTTGTTTCCCATTCTCCTCGCAATTGATACACCACTAACGATGAATCTCCATATATCTTGAGAAATTTGATTTTTCTTTCTATAGCTGCTTTCAACCCCATGATACAAGCTTCATATTCCGCCATGTTATTGGTGCAAAAGAACTCCAGTCTACTTGTAAAGGGATAATAAACATTTTCTGGAGAAATTAACACTGCCCCAATTCCTCGTCCCAAAGCATTAGATGCTCCGTCAAAATAAAGCTTCCAAGTTGCAAATTCATCATTTGTTCTGACTTCTTCATTCATGGATATGCACAACAGATCTTCATCGGGAAAATTAAAGTTCAAAGGCTGATAATCATTTGATACACGACTGGCCAGAAAATCAGCTATGACACTTCCTTTTATCGCTTTTTGGTTGACATATACAATATCAAACTCAGATAATAACATCTGCCATCTAGCCATTCTGCCTGTCAAAGCTGGTGATTCCATTAAGAACTTTAAAGGATCAAGTTTGGATATCAACCAAGTAGTATGGTATAACATATATTGTCTGAGTCTTCGAGTAGCCCACACCAGGGCACAACATAATTTTTGTATTGGTGGATATCGAACTTCACAATCAGTAAATTTCTTGCTCAGATAATAAATAGCTTTTTCTTTCCTTCCTGATTCATCATGCTGTCCTAGTACACATCCCATCGAATTTTCGAAGACCATCAAGTAGAGAATTAATGGTCTATCAGGCATTGGTGATACTAAAATTGGGGCATTGGATAAATATTTCTTAATAATATCCAAAGTTTCTTGACATTCTTCATTCCAGACTTCAGGATTGTTCTTTCGAAGTAATTTGAACACTGGATCACATTTGTCAGTTAATTGAGAAATGAACCGAGATATATAATTTAATCTTCCCAAAAAGCCTCGAACTTCTTTTTTTGTATTGGGTGGTGGAAGATCTTGAATTGCTTTGACTTTATCTGGATCAATCTCGATTCCTTTTTTGCTGACCACAAATCCCAAAAGTTTCCCAGAAGTTACCCCAAAAGTGCATTTTGCGGGGTTGAGCTTTAATTGATATCTCCTCAATCTCTGGAAAAGCTTTCTCAGATTTTGAATATGTTCTTCTTCAGTTCGGGATTTGGCAATCATGTCATCTACATATACTTCAATCTCTTTGTGCATCATGTCATGAAACAAAGTTACCATGGCTCTTTGATACGTTGCCCCTGCATTTTTCAATCCAAATGGCATCACTTTATAACAGAATGTGCCCCACATGGTTATAAATGTCGTCTTTTCCATGTCTTCAGGATTCATTTTTATCTGATTATATCCTGAAAAGCCATCCATAAATGAAAACCATGCATGCCCTGCAGTATTGTCCACCAATGTGTCTATGTGGGGTAAGGGAAAGCTATCTTTCGGACTAGCTTTGTTGAGATCTCTGTAATCCACACACATTCGAACTTTCCCATTCTTCTTTGGTACGGGAACAATGTTGGCTACCCATTCTGGGTATTTAGATGCCTGTAGGAAACCTGCATTGATTTGTTTCATCACTTCTTCTTTGATTTGCAACAACATTTCTGGCCTCATTCGTCTGAGCTTTTGTTGGATTGGTTTATATTCTGGATTGATTGGAAGCTTGTGTATCACTATATATGTGCTTAAACCGGGCATATCTTGATAAGACCAGGCAAAGATATCTTTGAACTCTTGAAGGAGATTTATCAATTCTTGTTTTATCTGGATTGTCAGAGTGGTACCAATTTTCACCTCTTTTATTTCTTCATCTGTTCCCAAATTCACAGTCTCAACCTCTTCTTTGTGGGGTAGAATTTGTTTGTCTTCTTTTTCTACCAATCTTAATAGTTCAGTAGGAATATCACATTTCAATTCATCCTCACACCCATTGATTTCTTCCAGACATATAGGCTGCTCTAAATTTATCACTGGATTAAATTTAGGAATGCACATGCTATTAACATGGTGACACCTGTAAATTTAAGTCGGACATATTTCCGAAAGAATATAGTAAATTTATGAAAATAATAAATTTAAAAATGTAAGAAAATGTAAAGAATGATTGCCATATGAAAATTTTAAAGAAAATTCCTTATATTTAACATAATTTCATTTACAAGATAACAAAAAGTTTTCATATTTTTGAGCTAAACATAAAGATTAGTTTTGAATATTACTCTGCATTAATATTAAAAACTATAGGAAGATCTTCAGTGGTCCAATTGGTGAGTGTTTCTCCAGGAAGACATGGTCGAATCCTATCCAAGTATTTGCCAGTTTTGTTGTCATTCATGATCATGTTGATAAATAATCCATTCATAGCTTCTTCAACTATGTCTTGATCTTTCATCAACTTTTCTTCTTTAAAGGCTTCAACAAGATGCTGTTCTACATTAATTGTTCCCCCTGATCTGAATGTGGTCTTCAACTGTGGGAAAGACATGTGTTTCCAAAGGATTTCTCCTCCTTTCAATTTTGCCTTTCTGTCTTCACATCTTCTTTTCATCTCTTTGTTCTTTTGCTGAAGATTGGGCTTAAACCCTAGCCCAAAACGGTCTTTTTTCATCTTTATACTGATAGGAACTGAAATCCCTTGAAGATTCTTTCCTAGACCTCTCCCAGTTTTAGCTCCGATGCCTAAAGTTTGTTGTACCGTCATCTTGGTGCAATCAGACAATCTGGCATATGGAATTTTGCTTCCTTCTGCAATAAAGGTTGCATTTACAAATTCAAGAGCTCGGAAAGAGCATTCAAGAGCATCATCATTGGTGTCGATATATAGAACATCACTTGTTACCGACGCAATGATTTCTTCTTCAGCTCCTACGCATATTAGTTGTCCATCAACAACAAATTTTAATTTCTGATGTAATGAAGAAGGAACAGCTCCTGCTGAATGAATCCATGGCCTCCCTAATAGACAATTATATGTAGGGTGGATGTCCATCACCACAAAGTCAATATTATACACGACTGGACCAATTAACAACGGTATTTCCATTTTCCCAAGCACCTCTTTTTGAGTACCATCAAATGATCGTACTACATTCTGATAACTCTTCATATGTGATTGATCCACAGGCATTCTTTGAAGTGTGACTAGAGGCATCAAGTTGAGAGCAGACCCATTGTCAATCAATACTCCTGGCAACACATGACCATGACAATGTGTCGTGATGTTCAAAGCTTTTACTGACCCCATTCCGCCTTCCGGTATTTCATCATCTGTGAAAGTTATGTAATTGTCAGCGGCTATATGTCCCACAATTCTGTCAAGTTTATTGAGGGATATATCTTCGGGGATAAATGTTTGATTGAGGATTTTCATCAAAGCATTTCTATGTGCTTCTGAATTCATCAATAGATCAAGAATAGAAATTCTCGCTTGTTGTTTGTGTAGTTGTTCAACCACACTATACTCACTATGTTTCAAAAATTTCAAAAATTCTTGAGCTTGTTTTTCTGTCACAGGTTCATTAAATGCTGGAAGGGATTCATCCTCAAATACCTTCTGAGGTATTGCCATGGCTTTTCCTTTTGTTTTCACTTGTTCTGAAGCATTGGATGTTTCGGGAGAATAACATCTCCCACTTCTTGTAAAGAAACCGACCTCGCTCACTGCTTCAGACGTCGATGTTGTACCCAAACTCTGTATTTTCTCTTCTGTTTTATCTAGAGAAACATATCCTCCTACCATTGAAACATTGGTAGTATAATTCCAAGGTACCCTGCGGGTATCTTTATATGGAAATGGTAGAGGAGTGGTGATAACTACTTTCGGCCTTATTGGTGCAGGAATCACCGAAGATGATCTCACATTAATGATCACAGGATCATTTATTCTTTGACTCGGTTTAGAATCCTCTGATGAGCAAACATCATCTTTTTTCCTTGGTTCTTCTTCAAAGAATTCTATTTCTCTATTGTTCATCAATTTTTGCACCAAATCCCTAAATTTAGGACATAGTTGAATTTTATGCCCTTCCTCCTGATGATATTCACAATAACTCTTGCCTTTATTCTGCTTTGGCTTGAATTGTTGTGGAATCATACCGGCTAAAAAAAGTTGTTGGAATATCCAAACAAACGGAGATTTAATTTCAGAAATGTCAGTTTTTGCTTTCTTTCTGTTCTCTTCCTGAATTGCATTCACGTTTTTATCTCCATGATTTGGCAATGGATGATTTGATGCAGATGGTGTATTAAATTCCAACTTCCCAGTGTTGATCAAATTTTGAACCACCCTTTTGAATGCTAAACAGTTTTCAATAGAATGACCGTAATTCCTTCATGGTAAACACAGTGTGCCTTTGTATCATACCAAGGAGGGAATGGTGGTTGCATGGGAACCAAGGGATAAGGCCGTATAACATCTGCTTTTAACAGCGAATCATAGATCTCTGCATACGGTACTGGTAAAGGCGTAAAAGACAACCTTTCATTTTCCTTTCGAGATCCTCTGGACTCTGCTCGATTAGTGTTTGTTTCCTCTTTCTTAACCCTTGGCTGGGTTATTGTAACACTTTTCGATGAATCTTTGCTGTAAGAATTTGCATTGTTGACTTCATTCTCCTTTTTCCGGTATGTAGGTCTTTTGGAACTAGACCCATCATTCGATTCAATCTTGCCGCTTTTCAAGACATTTTCAATGAGTTCTCCAGAAATGACCAAATCTGCAAAATTTCTGGTTGCATTCCCCATTAGATGGTTTAAATAAGGAGCCTTTAATGTATGGACAAACATTACTGTGGCCTCTTTTTCTGACAAAGGTGGTTGAACTTGGGCCGCAGTGTCACGCCATCTCTGGGCATACTGTCTGAATGTTTCATTATTCTTTTTCTCCAAGTTTTGGAGAGTCCATCTATCAGGGACCATGTCTGTCACATGGCGGTACTGCTCTAAAAATGCTTTAGCCAAATCTTTCCAAGATCTAATGTTGGCTTTGGTCAATTGAGTATACCATTTTAAAGCCGGTCCTGTCAAACTATCCTGAAAGCAGTGAATTAACAATTTCTCGTCCTTCACATATCCTGCCATTCTGCGACAAAACATAGTAATGTGGGATGAAGGGCATGTAGTACCGTCATATTTATCAAATTCGGGAGCCTTGAACTTGATGGGAAGGATTAAGTCTGGAACCAAACTCAACTCACTAGCATCAAACCCATAGAATGATTCAGTTATTTCCACGGATTTCATTCGTTCTTCTAAGCTCTTGATCTGTCTAGTCAGTTCTTCATTTACTTTTTGTTTCTCATTCAGCTCATTCAAATCTGGGATCAAATGCTCAGTATTCATATCTCCTATTTTCACATCTGATATAAGTGGAATTTTGCTTGAAGAGGCAGGATCCACTTGTTGATCTTCATGTGGTTTGGCTTCTTGTAATGCAGATGTACGAGCATTGATTTGTATAGGTGTAGTACCAGAGTGATAAATTGGTTCTGGTGAAAAACCTAGAGGATATATGGGTTCTTGGTCGAAAGATACAGGATTTTCATGCATTTTTCCACTGATAGCCTGCCTTTTAAACATGTCCTCTATTTTCTTCATCATACTGTCTTGTGAATTTGCAATACTGGCTTCAATTTTTTCCAACTTCATTCTCATTTCTTCTTGTTCTTTATGATGCTGTTCCTCAATACGCTGTATTTTATCCTCCATAATTCTCCTAGTAGCTTGTCTAGTACCGTAGTGATGTTGTATTTCTCTTTTGGCCAGAGTAACTGCGATTGAAAAATCTTTTAATATTATTTTTTCAAATTTTAATTAATGAATTTTAACTTAATAAAATAATTCATAGCGAAAATTATGAAATGAATGATGAATGTATGGAAAATGCATGTATGTAAAAAAAAACATTGATCCCAAAAAATTAACTGTCATAGAACAACTTTCATCGGCATACAAAAGTTTCTTTATAATAGTTCATAACTACAGATAAGGCGTAGCTTTCCTATTAAGCTCTATAATTTCTTTCATTAACCATGACACCTTCTTTCCACACTTAGAAACTGGATCAACTTGATGCTCAATTATTTTGGCTTCAACAGCTAGTTCCCCAACATATCTGGCAACTTCGCTCATTTGAACCATGGCCTCGAATACCATATTGCTTCTTTCTTCACTTCTTTCCACATAGAACTCAGTTGATTTTTTCCACTGTTCATTCATTTCTTCAAGAGTCTGCTCTAATTCAGTGATTCTGACTTGACAATTGTGCAGAATTTTTTCAAGATCTCTAATGCGTCTTCGCAGTGAAGCATTTTCCTCATTAATTTCTTTGAGATCATTAGGCCCTAGACGAACCTTTTCTTGAAATAATGATTCTTCAAGTTGCAAAATGTAAGCGTTAAACTCTGAGTTTTTGTTTCTAGACTGATCCAGATCTTCTTCAAGTTTTGTTCGTGTTTCTTGCGTTCTTTGATTAAGCTTCTGGATTTGAACATCCTTGTTTCTGCATCTTTGCATCCAATTGCTAGCCACTTCCTGCTCCACCTCAAGTCTGGTGTTGAAATTTTTTCTTTCTAACTCCCATTTTTCTTTTTTAATATTGGATTCTTCCATCTTTTGGCCTCTGACTTCAAGTTCAGCAATTAACTGGTTCATTTCAGATTCAAATCCCTTGAACATGATATTTTTCTCACCTTCAAATTTAACAAAGATGTCATTCTTCATATCTTCTAAATCTTTGGCTCGATCCCTTTCTCTTTGCATTTCATTCATGATCTCACGGTGTTCAGCCTTGTGTTTTATAATTCGCTCTCTTCTGTCGACCTCAAAACCTTCCATTTTTTGCTTTCCTTTTTCCAGGCTTTTGAGTAGACGGCTATTCTTTCCTTTCAAATCTTCAACTC